TAAAATTATACCCTTGAAATCAAAGAATAGATTTTGTTCACTATCCAAAAATATCATTTCTATTTGTATTACATCATTATATCTATGTATGACATCTATCAAGAAGACGTAGTTGTTTTTTTTCGACGATATTATTTGAAATATTCGTTTTTATATTAGTCATTAATAATACAAATATAACAAATTATTATTTATATCTTTTCGTCTTCTATCTATATTTTTGTCCCTAATTAGTACATAAGAAAGAAGTATCAGTTTTCAGTAAACAAACAAATATGTCAAAAAAAAAACGAATAATATTGACTGTAAATAACCCTTCGGAAAGAACAAAAAGAAAACGAGAAATTTCCTTTGAGAAATATTCGATTTATTGTGTAGGTCATATTAACAACTAATAACTTCTTTTTTGTTTTGAATATTATCTCTTTTTGTTTTGTTACAGGTATGAATCCTTTTGTCAATGATTTTATATTGGTTGAAAAGAACCTAAATATGTTTTCTAATGTTGAAAAGTCTACTTCAAATTCGAACAGTTTATCTTTTATGAAAAATATTACTAGTTGTACAAGTACTAGTGTTAATTTAACAATTAAATATCCTACATCAGAAAGACGAATATCTTTAACAAAAGCATATAGTTGTTCAGATGCAATGTCTTCAAAAATAAATGGAAATTGTTTATTTATAACACCAAAACAATTTTTTGAATTAATTTCGGAAAATTCAAATATACATGAACATAAATCATATCCTATAATTGATTGTCGTTCACAAATAGATTTTGGTTGTGAACATATACGTTCATCATATAATGTTAATTGTCGAGCAAAAATTATGGCAAGAAAATTAATATCAAAACGTTTAGAAGATGTTGAACCAAATTTAATATCATCATTAAATGATTCTGATATTGTTATTCTTTATGATCAATCAACAGATGAACGAACTGAAGAAAAATTACGTTCATTACCAATATATCTTGTTATACAAGCAGCAAAAAAATCAAATAAAATAGTACATATTATTCAAGGTAAAAATCAATAACAAAAAAAAAAAATATATATCTATATGTATATCTTAGGTGGTTTTGATGCAATTAAAAATCAATATCCACATTTAATTGAATCTGCTTGTGAAATAATATCAGGAGAAAAACATGAACAAGATCATTTACCATCTACTCCTGAAACAGTAGATAAAGAAAATTTTACTATGACTGAAATTTTACCTCGTATATTTGTAGGTATGTACTTATTTTCTTGAAATTTCAATAAATACTACACTTATTGATATAATAAATCAAATAGTTACAAAATAAATAGATGATAAATATAATTCATTGAATCGAATAATTTCAATACATTACGTCATTCAGCAAATATGACGTATAGAATAAATAATTAAAATATGAAACTTTTTTTATCTTCAAAATGAATATGATAAGAAAAGAAAAATAAAATACTATATGATAATTTATTTAGGTAATATACTTGATGCTCAAAATCTTGATCGTTTAAATCAAAATGGTATAACACATATTGTAAATTCAACACCTGATTTACCACTTTTCTGGGAAAAAAACTATCAATATATGCGAGTTGATGTATTGGATTTACCGTCTGAAAATATTCGAAAATATTTTGATAAAACTTTTCAATTTATTGGTTAGTTAACAATTGATTTATTTGTTAGAAAAAAAAAAATTTTTTTTTTTTTTTTTTTATAAATCTAGATGAAGCATTGCATACAAAAAACAATAATGTTCTTGTTCATTGTTCAGCTGGTATTAGTCGTAGTCCAACTTTAGTACTTGCTTATATGATAAAAAAATATAATATGACATTAGATGAAGCATTTAATAAAATGCGTCAATTACGTCAAATAGTTGATCCTAATATTAGTTTTATTGTACAATTACGAGATTGGGAGAAATTACATCAAATGACAACAACAACAATTGAAACAACTGATGATAATAATAATACGACCTGTAATGGGACAAGATCAACATCAAGTAGTATTTATTGTGGTTCAACATCAAAAAGTAAAACAGATAAGAAATCACGTACAGAATCAGCTATTATTGTTAACTAGTAATAATAAATTTTCTCAAGAATGACACTAATAGTTGATTAAAAAAAAACAAATCTATATATTTTTTTTGTTTTCTTTTCAGTTTTCTTTTATTTTGGTTTCGTATTTTTACATCTATTATCAATTCTGAAAAATGTATATAGATATATATGTAAACTGAAAAGACAAATAGCATCTTTTCTGTAACCCTTGTTTTGCGGAAAAAAAAACAAACTCATCTGCGGATACAAAGTAACGCATTTCTTTTTTTCTTTTTTCTCTTGTTAATACAAGACCTAGCTTGTTTTCTATTATTATATACATTCGTATATATAGAATAGAGAAACACTTCTTCAGTTCTTCCATGTTGGTTTTTTTTTGCTATGAAATTATCTTTTTGCGTTCTTAATTCCTTTTTTTTTTTCGTTGTAGTCGATTTTTATTGTTGTATATTAATATGAAAGTGTGATGATAGAGCAAAATAACCTTGTCTTGCTTTAAGCGTTCTTTGTGCGTTTTGTATTTCGTAAGTCGATCCTTTAGACGATATTATTTAAATTTTTTGTCGTGTTTATTTTTTTTCATTCAAAACTGTACTATGATTATAACAAAAAGAAAAAAGAACACAGCATGATGCTTTGGTTTTTTTTAGCAATCAATCGAAATAGAATATTAAATGAACAATATTCAAAAAAAAAAGATTTTGTCTAATAAATTTTTCAAATAATGAATAGTATAATGATTTATTATGAAGATCTTTTTTGAATAATATAAAATAAATTCTATTGTTTTTAACTCTTGAAAAAGATTTATTTTAGTTGTTGTGTTTCATTCACTATTTGATTTCTATTTAATCAAATACAAAAATTATTCATACATGTTCATGAATAAATAACAATAACATACAAATATATTTTATGTATTCATGGGTAAAGTTTGTCAAAAACAAACAAAAAAACAGTTGCTCGCCATATGTAAATCTCGGATAATCTATCAGCAATAATTACAAACTTATATATCACGTACATAAAACAGCTGTATGTCATGCACAATCACACAATTTTTCAGAATATTAACTATCGGTAATAATCTTTCACAACATAAAATCTATATTCATTCGTAATCTTCGTATGTAATTTTCAATCTAGAAAATGAATCGAAGTTCATCAATCTCGTTCATCTCCTACGATTCTGTATCATGATGAGAGTAGATGTTCGTTATTGAATTATGTAATCCAAATCTGCACATTGGTATCCTTGATAATCATATATCTTGGTATGTGTGTGCTTATAAATTATCTTTTTATCATTCTCTTGAATAATCCATGCATATAAAGTCATTATAGTCAAATAAAATTAATGTTTTTTTTCGAACTTAGATGTGATAGTCATCATCCTTGTTTTCATGGCGGACAGTATTAAATGTAAGAAAAAACTGTCATCGAGATAGGATATGAGTGTGAATATAATTAATTATATAATGATTATTAGCTATCATTTTTGGATATATATATATATATATGATAAAACTTTTTGTTCAAGGTGCACCTTCTAAAATCGAATATTCCGTTGGATATTTCATATGCTTGGGTGTATTAAACGACATAGGTGTTCTATGATACAAAGAGAAAAGCATGTATTCAATCAGTTCATTTAAGATTAATGAACAAATGTTCTAGTGACGAACTATCCAAGAAATAATCACCCCTTGTTCTTCGATAGTTAATCACAAGAAAAACCTCGAGCATTCATTTATTTTAATGAAAAGAATATTACAAAAGAAAAAAATGCCTAGATTATGTCAATAAGAAATTTTAACGTTATTATATACCTGTCAAGAATGAAAATTTCGACACCTTACACAAATTTTATTAACATTATCATTGTTTGTTTGTTTTGTTGTTCTTGTTTTTAGTTTACTGCATTTTTTTCTACTATTCATTACTACTCAATAGATACATTGCTTGATATACATAATAATATTAATGAAAAGTAAAATCGATTAAATTATGGTTGTTTTAATTTGATTTACTCTCATAATACGTAAACGTAAGATATCAAACATATCTATATATAATAACCTATCAACTTATCTCTAAATCATATTTTTTTTGTCTTGACAATTTGTAGACAGAACATTTTTTCCTTGATCGCACGATTTATCCTATACATCACGTACAGCTTGCAATTTCATACATGAGATAGCATGTGTCATCTGCAAGCTGACAACACTCATACAATAGCAGTGCAACAAAAAGAAAGAAGCTAATCATAACTAAGATAAATGAAAAATTTATGCATATATATATATATCACGGTTATTTAAAAGAAATTTAAGGGTTGAAAAAAAAAACATAGGAGATATGGTTTTTGGTCTCGATGTTCATCATCTTTTTTTTTTCCTATGTTCGATAAATTCAATTCAGTTAATATAATGCAATCTATGCATATATATATACATATTCATATTTGTATGTGTGTATGCAAACTGAACGATAAACGTAACTAGTTGTCGTTGTCGTCTCGGTTAAGTTGAATTTCATTTGGTAAAGTCTTTTCAAGGGACACTCTAAAGCATTCATTCGAGCGTGTCCATGAGACAAACGAAACGAAACGAATGAATAAAAATGGTTGTTACTTTACAAATAAGAAGCCGTCCTCCTTTATCATTACTATTACGAATGATCATCACCTATCTATTGGCTTTTTTTCCTTCTTTGGTTATTTCATTTTTTTTTTTCTTTTTTTCTCTTCTCACGAGTGCAATAAACAGTAATGCTTGATAAATTACATTTGATCATCATCGTCATATTCGTGCAGTAATCATTAATCCTTTTTCCTTTTTTTTTTATTGCCGTAGCCAATATGAAATTGTCCGCCTAATCAGTTGAGTGTAATATTTTGTTTGATTCTGATAGTTATAGAATATGTCGAATAATAAATACTATAATTCCATAAAATCTCAACAGCCACAATCAAATGTTCATAGTTATGTTCGGCATCGTCATCATCATCGTCATACTTCTCATAATTCATCTCCAATGCGACCAATTCAACATGTTTCTTCATATTCAAATCCTCCTTTAGATGATGATGAAAATAATAATGATAATAATCATCATCATCATAATACACAAAATCCTCCAGCATTAATATCAAGCTCATTTTTATCATTAAGTCAATCAACAGCTTATTTTCTTGATCGTATTGATTTAGAAAATTATTCAACAACTATATTAAAACAAACAGTTGAAAATGTTTTATCAAAAGCAAAATCCCGAGGTTCGTAATTAAAAATCAAACAATACATCTATTTTACCAAACATTATTCGTTATATGATATTTTTGTATTGTTAGGTTTAAAGGTAAAGATATCACTACCAGATGATGGCTTAATTATACATAATATAAATGATTCAAATCAATCATGGATATTAAAAAAATCAGAATTACTTTATTTTTGGCGTGATCCACATTATTTAAATATAATTGTTGTTGTTACATTTAATCAATCACGACAACGTACAAATCGACCTTATTCAGCATCAATATTTCGTTTACGTAATAATGATTCTACTCAAATATTTCTTCAACAAGCTCAATTATTTTTTGCTAATTTACCAGCATCTATTACTAGTTTAAGTACATCAAAATCTAATAGAAATAAATCAATTGATAGAACAAATCGAACAGAAAATCGATTTATTACTGATCAAAAATCCTTATCTTATAGTAAAACTAAAGCTCTTTCAATGATTACTGAACCATATTATGCTAAAAATAAGTCTTTAACTAATCGTAATCAATCTCCACGAACAACAAGTATTCGTCATGTTACACGAGCTGAATTTGATCCTGGTAAAACAGTAAGAAACTCAAGAGCCAATAATTATAATCATCGAATATATAGTGAAACAGGATCATCAACAGATTCTCAAAGAGCAAATTCTCCAAGAGAAATTGCATTCTATACAGAAAAAATGGATGATGATGACAATAATAAAATGACAAATCTAAGCAATAATTTATCATCTGAACAAATTGTTGAATTAATGCGTGAATTAAAAGATTTACGAAATGAAATAGCTTTATTAAAATTAGAACAGAGAATACAACCAGATACATGTTCAATGAGTACAAGTCCATTAGCTATTGATATTGAATGTTGTAAACAAACAACAGATTCATCAACAACAACATCACCAACATTTCCTAATATAACATCACCATATGAAGTGGATGCGGAAACACAAACTGATTTTAGTTTAATACATCATAGACGACGACAATCACCAAAAAAAAATAAAAAAACAATGATTGGATCAGGTGGTATTTCAACAACAATGAAGAAAAACACTGAAGAATCATATAAAAGAAATTCTAGAACTTATTCCAATAGTTCAACAAATACTATATCTGATCAAGAAGGTAAATAAAACAATTCTAAGAAAACAAAAAGAAAAATCAATCGTTTCATTTCGTAATTTTTTTTTTTGTTTCTTTCATTCATGAAAAAAATATCTGTTATTCCTTTTAATTTTCGTTTATAATGAAAGATGTGAAAGGGTAGAGACGTATAAAATCAGAAAATTGGTATAATCATTGTTTTCAAACTAGAATATTATACCGAGTTGCTTGATAATAATTTGAAATTGATTTGATCATAACCAGCGTAGTATATGACGTCAAAATCGTCCTCTATATCGTAAACATTTTGTTTTAGATAGAGCATTGATGATCAACAGTATGTTAGATGAAAATTTGAAACTGTTTGTTCTCTTGTTGATCAATAGAGTCTTACTCGATTGGTTGTATGTAAAGCGTTATATACCGATGTATATCAGTTTTTAACAGTTATAAAAAAACTCTATTTTTCAATCTCAATGAATACTATCCATTTGAGGAACTACATATAAATCACTTAAATTATCGATAACAATTACAAAGTTCTTGTAAGCTTCAGTCCCAAACTGTTAAATACCAATCACAAAAAAGGTTTTCGTCCTAAAATTATTTTCTTTTGTTTTTATAGGAACATCATCAGAAAGTTCTTCTCAAGTGAGTGATTTATCAAATGGTATAAATAAATCACTTGTTCAACAACAATATCAGCCAACAATCATACCAACACCACCTCGTCCTGTATTGATGAGAAATCAAAAGAATTTTACACCTTTAAATAATTCACAATCTTATACAATACCCAATGGTAATCTAATAGTACCTCATTTCAATTCTATTGAAGAAGGTTCATTACCACTAGGTATATCTACGACTACTGAAAAAGAAATGTCTAAATTTCTTTCTACAAGTATTTCTTCTTCAAATCCAGAGATAATTAGACCCTCAGTACCAATAATTACAGCAGGAACTACAAGTTTTCAACCGTCATTAGAAAATTCAAATGTTCCTAAGGAACATATCTATGAAAATATACCTATTTTAATACAACAAAGCTCGAATCATGAAAGTTATTATAATATACCTATTATTAATGTAGATAATCAACAACAACAACAACGACAACAAGAGCCACAACAACATCAACATCAACAAAATCAATCGAATGGTTATGGTTATTATCCTGTCACAAATAATCGTGAATCTGAAACTCAACAACAACAAGTTATTTCAGGACAAACAATATCTAATTCTCATCCAACAACAAATAACAATAATTCTGAAATTCTATCATTAACAATGAATGTTCAACCACAAAAACCACAAATAATATCTGCTGGTCGTCATCGTAATCAACCAATATTTTTTGCAAATCATTTAACAAATCCAATATTTAATGTTGATAAACAATTATTAATAAATACCGTTGCTAATCAATTTGGTGTTGATCTTAATTCACCACAATTACAACAATTAGTTACAAATCAACATTTATTTGCTGCACGTAGACGTACATTTGCTAACATGGTTTGGCAATTAACACCTGATGAAGAAACTGCTCTATGTTCACCAACGACAACATTACAAACCGATACTATTGATATAGATATACTTGATACAAATGATTCAGCAAATCGACCAATATTAAAAGCAACTAATCGTTTTCAGTCAACATCTAAACGACGAAGTATTAGTTGGGATACTACATTAGACTGATATTCATTGTATATTTATGTTCTTGTCTTTTTTTTTCCGTACGACATATTTTTGTATTATTCTTTAGAATACTTATTATTTCAATATATATATATATTATTGTAATACATTTGTTTATTCTTATTGAGTATTTTTCCGATATGTATAATTATGATTACAATTTTCTTTTAGTATACAAAATTCAGTAAGCATATCATTTATAAATAAATCATAAAAAGCATTTTATATTCGACCTAAATATCAGATTTAACGTGTAAATATACTCTTTGTTGAAATTAAATGATTTTCTTTTTCATATCTATATATACATCTAATAATAAATGAGGATGATTATCATGGAATAATGGAAAAAAAATTTGATATTCATGCAATAACTGCAAATCGATTTGTATGTATTGACTATGGCTTTTGGTCTAGGTTAGAATACTTGCCTCATAAGAATTTGAAAAGCTAACTTTCTTAAACTAATCAATGATTAACATTTTGCTGATCAAAATTTCGTGACCAAATAAAAAGAAAAACCTTGGATGAGTATTATATGCTTCAGAAAATGATTTACTTAATTGTTCTTATTTGTAATAGATCAAGATAAAGTGTGGCATTAAACTACACACGAATTTGATAAAAATCTAAATCATTCAATATGCTTACAGCACTGATTTAATGGACAAATGGGCATGTTATAATCACATATACATTGTATATACATCAGTTCTCAACACACTATTACATATACTATCTATCTCAATCAGTTCAAAAATATTGATATTGAACCATTGATTATTGACATCTTGAAAATAAAGTTTTATTTGCGCAAAAATCAGAAACTTCACTATTTAGAACATTCACAAACGCCTTTTAGCATACAAGTTCCAACGAAAATTTTGCAATATTCCAGAACTTTCTATAACATTTCAAGTCAATTCTGGAAAAAGTTTGACGCCTTTTGTTTTCAGTCACTATGGAAACGTTTCCAATGGTTTTGTTGCCTTTTCTTCTCACTTCATTCAACGTCTGTTATTACTGAACTCAATTACTAGGAGTTGGAAGGAAGTCGCAAAATCTCAAATTAAACTTACACTCAATTCAAAATAAATGCATTAAGATATTCGAGTGTTGTACGATCGAGAGTATTTTCTCTAAATGTTTTAATTGAATCATTTACTGTTGTTATTTTACTTTTTCTAAGTTTTAAATCTATAGCTATTTGTCTTATAATTCCTTGAAATTCTATATTATTTCGAGCATTACATAATTGTTTAATATAATGAGCATTTAATATAAAATTATTTCGGTTATGAAACGATTTTATTCGTAAATTGAGAATCAATTGAAGATTTTGATCGATGTATATGATTGACTGTATTCAATAGTCTTACATTGAAAAATAAAATTTGGCTATGAATGTAAGACAGAAAAAAACACATTCATTTTTCATAGCAAGTTTTAGTTCTATTCTGACAACGAATATTGAATTGTTCAATTATTATTTTTTTTATAAATAATAATTGAGCAAAATAACTTGAAATATG